ATATAAAATATTAAGGACATTTAACTTACAAGTTTATGTAAGTCTAGAATGTCTCCCTCGAATTTCTTATCCATTTTTTCTTCCAGAAAATACATTCTTAGCTTCAAGTGAAAATTCTCTTTCTTTAACTCACATATTTGCTAAAAAAACAAAATAGTTTTATGAATTTTTAATGAATTTTAAAAGTGCGAAATGAGTGATAAAAAGCAGAATTTGAAGCTACCTGATCGTACTCTTTCATGGTCCTAACTCTTAACGGAGAGACATATCCAGCAAGTCTTTCTGCTGCACGTTATAAATGAAGATTAATTCATGGTTAAACCATTAAAAATCCTCAGAATAATATATTAAATTAGTTTACTAACCCACTGGAGAAAGTGGATTTGAAGATTCTTGAGGAGACGACTCACCCATTTCTTCCAGAGGTTCTGGATTGGCGCTAAAAGTACACATATTTATATATTTATAGCATTTTTCACGTTTTTCTAAAATAATATCTAATTATATTGATATATTAAAGTTATAAGCTGAAAAAGTTTATAGAAGAGCACTTCTCAACCTTGTTCCAATTGGAACGCTATAATGTTACGGTTCAAAAATTCTTGGAGATCGCGGTCGACTTGTTGAAAAACTAAGTTATTAATCTTTAAACATTGAGTTATGCTATTTAATAATTTTTTAAAACTTTATAAATTCGAATAGTAATTAATTCTACTAAAACGTTTTTAAGTTTGTACAATTTAAAATGAATATTTTAAACGTTTTAATTATAAAAAATTTTGAGCATTTTACCTTCTGTAATAAATTTATCTTTTTTTCTAAGAGAGTCTTCTCATTGTTGTTCTTAGTTTTGATGGAATGAATTTCTTGTTTGTGATTATTTTCTAATTTCTCCAAAGTTCCTCTGAAAATTAGAAACATAATGAATAAGTTTAGAATTTTTTTTATACTTTTAGGTATATTTTTTTGCTTTAAACTCACAGAGCTTCTTCTAACAAATTATGTTTTTGCTCTAGTTCTTTACGAAGAGATTCTGCATCTACTTGCAATTGCAAATTCTGTAAGAAGAAACTTATAATCCTTAAGAC